AACGTTACGAATACAACAAGCAAACGTACGTATGCCGTTGAAGTTTGACCACCTGTTTCAGAAACACCATGTGTAATTTCTAGTTTGTTTGATTAGTTGTGCTAGATCGAGTCCAGGTTATGTTAATATTAATAACTTCGCCGCTCGTAACTGCAGTGCGCACACGTTGAATTCGGAAAGGGGAACGTTGTCGATTATCGAAATTATTCGATAAATTCTGTTCGGTTGGTAACACGAACCAACGCTTTACAGAAGAACAACAAATACGAACTCGTCGAGCAAACATTAAACGATAATCGAAATGGAACACGGACTCTGAATGGAGGAAAAAAAGAGGGAAAACGCGTAGAAGGTAAGGTGACTTTTGAAGTTTCTGAGTTGGAATCAATCTTTCAGGAGATGACAGTCAATGTTTGCCAGACAATCGGAACCGACTTAAACTTTAAGCTTCCGCGACTGAAAGGAGTTCTGGGGAAAGCTGGCTGGGTAACTCCTAGAAGAATGAGCGATATTTCTCCTTCGCGGTGGCCCGCTCGAATTTTCCATGATATTCCGAAAATGAGCGTTCGTTCAAAACCGGATGAACCACGAGCCTGGGGGGTTGCGATATTCAGACAGTGCGAAAGATAGCGTTAGCCAGGGATAATCAATTTTTGTTTACGTTTCGGATAAGCTGAGAAGAGTATCCCGAATCCTGTTGTTCGCAAACTATGATGATTCTCCATCCTCGGTCTACCAGCAAAAATATTCTTGGGTCGCGTTTGGCCACCAGAAAAAAAATTCCAAAGCTACGATATAGAGAACAATTTGATTTCTAATTAAAGGACTCGAGAGTCTTAAAAGCATCCTACGAACAAAATAAAATCCTGAATTCGAGTAGAAAATATTTTTGAATGTTACGCGAGCCCCAAGTGGCAGTTCAGGGGACAGTTTTGGGAAACGTTGGAGCAATATCGCGCAGCGTGGTGCTTCATTCAGGCCAGGATGGAACCCTCGCAGTCGGGGAAGACAATTGAGCATCTTCTGTGGCCGGGAAAACGCAGGCGAGATATTGAACAGCTGGAGGATCTTAAGACTCGGAAGGTTGGAACCGTTTGGCAACGGGGGAAGCCTCGAGTGCGTCTTTATCCGTGGTTCATTAGCCGCCGGTGTTTGCTGAGAAAACGTCGCGCTCGGGCGAGCTTTGCCTCTTCTGCGAGGGGAAACAGCCGCTAATACGCGTCTGTCAAGGCTTTCGCGGGATTTAAGTCGCCCGCTTAATCGTTTCGGTTCTTACATTTTATCGCGGCGAGCGAATAGACTAGTTCGTTTCCCGTTGGGCTTGAAACATAGTAATTCCCTTTTTCAAGCGACAATTTTTAAGCTGAATTAATAACAAAATGTCTTTACTTTGGTTTGTAAGTTTTCGCCCGAATTCCTACAATTTTTTCACTCCTACCGTTTCGCCATTTCAACGTCGAATCTGAATTTTAACTCGCTTCTATGGAGAAGTCGGAAGTTTTCTCGTCTGAAAACGAGGAATTCTTATTCCACCTTCAAATTATTTTTCCGGATCTGTTCTCCGCGGAGGATGCTCGAGTCTAATGACTCGATTCACATTTTTACGAGTTTCTTGCCAGAGAAATCTCATCGTTGCGTGAGTTCCTCGAGTTCACGGCCTCGAACCAAGTCAATCCAGAGTCGTTCTTCCGGCGAGTAATCCGGTAGTCATTTCTTTCCCTTTGTTTAATCTTGTATGATTCGATATAAATACACAAACTTCGGCCCTTAATATTAATTATAAAAAGTGACGGAGTCTGGATCGTACAAGCTGAGAAGTTTACGTACTCTACTATTTTCTTCGTCGAAGCCTTCTTCGAATTACCAAATTTCTTCAACAACTCGATATTCCTTCATAAAAAAAAGATACAGATCACCTTGAGACACGTACAAATGAACCCTGATAGGTTCGAAAGACCCATGGCCACCGGTGTCCAAGAAATAAATTTGGGTACGATCGCCTGCTTCCAGCGTTTCGAGGTAGAAGACCCCTTTGAGTTAAACTACATCCGTTCATGTACATCTCAATTCCGAAACATGGCCATACACGATGGCACTCTCCCGATGGAAAGACGTTCTTCTACCATCGCGATCCTCCCCATATTTTGTCCTACTCCGGTCATCGATCGGTAGCAGTTATTGGCCCCCGTGCTCCCCAGCAATGGACGCGGAAACTACTCGGGCGAGTTTCATGCCGCTAATATCGGGAAAAATGAAATATTGGGCAGACGATGCCGATTGAATTCTAGAGCATCCTGCTTATTGAACCCGCGGAGCTTCTTTATTCCCGGCAGGATCGACGTTCGACGAGAATGCAGCCGGAGAATCGACGTTATCCTTTCAACGGCCCGAGCGAGTCGCGAAACAGAGTTCAGTCGACGGCTTCCCCGGTGCAAAGAGATATAATCCCATAAGTCAGAGCATGGTTCAAACAAATGGCGCGTGAACCTGGTGTACAAACGACGTTCGTCGGTTCTGAGAGGTGGATAATGATCTTCGATATCCATCTCCAGCCTTGGGAGAGCCTGACTCGATCGAATCTCGTTCGATGACGTCTTTAGGCGCCTCTGGAGCGTCCTGAATTTTAAACGAGCACGCTCGGAGAATCTGTTGCATGGCTCGATGTACAGAAATCTGACGGTTGCTTAGCGACTTGGAGTAGAAATTGCAGCGTCATGTACACGTCCCGTCGAATGTTTGTTTTCGACTTATTTACATTCGTGTTCCCAGAGACGAACGGTCTCGAGGGTTGCAACAAGGTCTCGTTCCTAATAAGTTAGTTTCACGATTTGTCCGGGAAGGGTCTCTGTTCCGGTCTCCCGTGCGAATCTATACGCGCGTTCGAATCGAGGCGACAGACCGAACGATACAACCGGTTTCTAAACGAGGGAACATGGAACAGCAATTAGAGTTGGAAAGACTTTTCCCGTTTTCGCGACAGATTTGGACGCGAGTTTCGAGAACTCTGGACTGCTAATGAACGACATGTCCTGGCATGTATTTGCATAGTACTAGTTTCGATTTAATATGGAACGAACTTGCGCTTTAGAACGCGCTCGTATTTAGGGGTAGATTATTGTCTATCATTGGTTGGATTATTCTTCATTTGAAGAAGACTCCAACGGAAAAAAGATCGCCAAGCATATAAACTTCTTAGCTCGTAAGATCGAGTTACGATCGCGAGTTGGAACGCAATTAAAAAATTTGAGACTAGCACGGAGCGTTCTCCCAGACGAAATTGTGCCTCGATCGCGGTTCCAGCGACGACTTCCAAACGATAAAAGTTAAACTGGTCCGATAACTTCCTCAGACGAACGGTCGATGGAACACAATACCATGAGCCATTAAACCGGAATGTCGGTCAGCTACGACCAAAAATTATGCGACGTTCGACCCGAACGCGACGTTGGGTAATTCATACGCGGCCGAGCGGAACCCTTTCGTCGCCATCGCAAATCAAGTATCGTTGGCGTTTAAAGGTGACTAAAGGGAAACGGCGACAGAGCGCGGGATACCGTATAAGCGGGAAACGATGGAAGATAATTCAGTTACGCGAGTCGATACAGAGAGAGGTCGGTGAATCAGAAGGCTCGCAAATGAGGTCGAACACGAGCGTCCGGTGCGTTTTGATGCAGTTTAATCGAATAGCGACGCCAAAAACGGCGATGCCGCGCTTCCCTGCGTTGAGAATAGTTGGCTAGGTATTGGCAGACGCTAATTCACTGTGATCAATTCGATTTACGCATCTCCGCGTATGAAATTGTAGCGAAACTACAGACGATTAAAACTACAACCGAACGGGACGCGAATGTCGAAGAACTGCGTGGTTTCTCCCGCGAGAAAGAAGAAATCTATCATCGATATCTCTATCGACATAAATCTTCTTTCCATCAACCGACTTGAATCGCGCGGGCAACCTTATGGCCGTTTTCATACCGTACAATTTTGCTTTCAACCAATATCGTTAACAGTAACAGTAACTTCAACATAAACCGTTGTTGATGCTGCGACTAACAAGGGGCCGTAATTAAACCGTAAAACTGAGTCTCCGAAACCGCTGATAATTCGCGTAATCTGTATTATCAAGGTGAAATTTTCAGACACCGTAATAAGCTCTTAATTACACCAATTTTCATTATCACCGGGTGTATTAACATATATTATCGCTCAGAGTGTAAACGCATAACGCATGCGAATGCGTGTAACATTTATGAAATAATAGATGGATTTTATAACGCAAAATATACAGAGTGTCCGTGTCGTAAATACTTTAAAAATGATTAAACGATGCTTTCCCAAAATATAACGCTTGTGGTTCCTTGCAGTGTTTAAAAAAAGAAACAACTATGAAACCGGAGCGAAATAAACCGTATCACCGAGTGTAAACAATCGAAGAGTCGTCGAATGGAAACGTTCGGTCGCGAATAATGGCCGTTTCGAGTCGAATCGGTGCCAATTCGCCGAACTATTCGCGGGTACCGATAAAATAATTTAAAACGACATAATGGTCCCGGGAAAAATGGATTACAACAGCGCGAAATTACACGCGCGCGTTCCTCGTATCGCGATGCTCGCGGACAAAGAATCAATTGTACAAGAGAAGTTCAGCAAACGCAACCGGTGATTTGGTGAAACGCCAGCTGTTATCGCGTGCGCCGTGTATAGGACGATTGATTGCGTTTGGATTATGCGCTGCTCTGGAAAATTACGCGTTTGCGTTTCGACTGAGGCCCTGGCACGCTGCTGACCTTGCACGAAAAAAAGCAAAAGTACTTCGGACGCCATCTTTGAATAATATTAAGGAAATACATCTCATCCCATTTTTGGGTGGAAACTCGCAATTACGCGTTCGCAGAAGTTCTCGTCGAGTTAAAACGGGAACAAAAGGGAGATCTCGTTGGCCGATGCCCGTCGTAAACGAAGTTTCCGTAGTAACAGGTATTTACTCTCGTTCGACTTACCTGTTTAATCCAACTTTTCCAGAGGTCCCTGTCCCATGGGTGGTGAAAACCGAGATACAAGTGCCGCGTTTCGCGATGATGGGCGTCCCCTTGTTGCGGAGTTTGATGACACTCCTGAGTGACCCTTGGAAATCCAGTGATACGCAACACGAGTTTACCCAGACGTGACGGCGCATAACAGACAGCACCGCCGCCGCCAGCGAGCTCCATCCATTCCGGTCGGGACTCTGGACAGGCTGAAATCAAGATGATTGATACCAAATTGTAGTCACACGGGCTTAATTTGGTTACTGGGACGCGTATGACTCGTTACTGTGATACTGCCGTGGACGCCAGTGAAAAGCTCCCATTTCACAGGGATTTCCGAGGGTTGGTCGATTGCGCAGCAAATACCAGTTGCAACCTGATGTATCATATTTAACGGCGGACCTTCAACCGTAACTCGCCCCTTCCGTAAGGACGATTCCCTTACGAAAATATTCAACGTGTTCAAACGTTGAACATTACGAAATTTTCAAGAATGTTCTCAAGTGCAATGAATATATGAATCTTCGCATGCATATCGATACATTCAGCTAGTTATAAAAATTTAGGTTGCTCGAATTTGAGTTGACACTCGAAAGCATGCTACAAAAGGACTCCATCAAGATTTACAGATCCGCGGGAAGAGTTCGCATTTCAGTTCTCGCAATGCTCGCAGGAACATTATTATTCCGACTGGCGTACCCGTAGGATATTCATCCGATGCTTTTCATTCCGCAACTCCGCGTCGCCTAGAATATCTTTAAAGAAAAAAATTAAATTCACCGCGGGGCAACAATTTAAACGTCGATTTAGTACAGCTCTCAATTAACTCTGTGGCAACTCGATGGACGTTGTATTTTGTTCCTCTATCTAATAACGCGATCGGGTTAAGAATCACGGCTGGTTTTTTTCACCCCTTTAATTCCGTCCCGGCCACCGCGCGCATCATGAAGTAAATTCCGATTTACATCGGTGTTTCGGTGAAAACTGTCGGCGAAATTTGATCACGCTGACAAGCACGTTGTCAAACCGCGGACAGTTAGGCGCGGTTTACGCGCCCGTGAAACGAACGATTTAAATCCGTATTCGCTCGGATATCAATGGCCTGGCTGCCATTCGTAGCTCCGTGTTATTAGATGACGCGGCCGAGCTGCGTTCGTCGGCGTGAAAAAAAACCCGGAGAACAGTTTATCCCTGGAAATTTATCGTCCGAGCGGCCGCCACTAATTGCCCGTTTGATATCGATATCACCTCGCAGAAAATTTCGCGCGCCGAAATTCTTGAGCTTTTTGACACCGGTGCGGAATCGACGCGTGCGTAGTCGTTAATATCCATCGTGTTGAGACGAAAGTGTCCGAGACAAAGTTCAAAGCCAGCAATAATAAGTTTTTAGTCCCCTCCTCCCACCAAAAAAAGTCACAATTCCGAATTCAGTAAATTTCTTGGCCTCGAAGCGTAGACAGTAGTGTGCATCAGGTTGAGACGAAAGTGTTCAATTACCAGTTCAAAGTTCGCAGTATTATTTGCCACTACGAACTGCAAATTTACAGCGCGGTAAAGTGGCGCATGCAGTCCTGTTTGAAAGCTGTGCGTCCAACGTTTATATTCATTATCATTTTCGGGGGCAACGTAACTCAACATCACACTTTACGAGCAATCCACGCGGGACCTTGAGTTTCGCGCGTTCACCCGGGAGAAAATTAATTATCGCTCCTGATTTGTGCGCGCACGAAAACAATTTTGCTCGGTAAAACGCGCGAATACTCTGGCGAGGCATTTATTTTCGGTATATTTTTAAATGTACTTCCGTTCTTTATTTTAGTTCGCTTTTAATTAGTTTCGTGTCTATACGCGTATCGCGGGGTTGTAATTTGCCAGTTCTCAATTAATTTTACGACGGCAAACGTAAATATTGATGCACGATATATTCCGTACGAGTCGAGTAAAAACATTGCGATACACCGCGCGTTCCTGCCTTGTATTTAACAAGTAAAATAAATTCTTTGATGTTTCGTTGGAAGAAATATAATCGTGAACGACAGAAACATCGCGACATCGTGCATTTCTACCTCGTGTTCAACAATAAAAATAAATTCTTTGTAATTTAATTACGAGAAATGAAATCGTAAATGACGAATGTAGTGTCTGGTTGGAAACTAAACATACAGAAACTAATAAGCTCCTGCAGCAAATTTATAGAACAATTCCCGTCGACTCTAAGAAGAAACAGATTACGCTGTAATATGCAGAGAATGCAAATGGTATTCCGAGGGGCGAAAAAGCTCGTCCAAAGAACCGAACAATCCGCGAGCAGCCATTTTGAACGGAGGTGGGTTGATTTAACGAACAGCAGGAAGAAACAGCGAAGAAAAACGGGAAGTTTATCGGAAGTTCATTCAAACGAAGTAGAGCTATTCGATTCATCAGTAACCTCATCAAGGTGACCGGAAAGAGGGAGGTAGCAAGTGGAGCAAACCAAGAATGCTGGCAATTAAAACTTCTCGAAAAGCTTTCCAGTACAGGCTCTATCAGCCCTCTGGCTCATTATTAAGCATTCCTGAAAACTTTTCTTTCGAATGCTAACGCTTTACTCGATGAGAGATGTGGTTGCATCGGCTCCACGGGTAATCACTTTGCTCTTCTAAATTTAACGTGGCGCGATAATTTTTTATTTTCCGTAACTCGGATGTTTCGATCGATATTTCCTATCGCGAGTATGTCACAACGCCCACGACTGTATTTACAAATACTGAAATTTCGAACTGAAACCTTATAACCTATGCCACCGAGGAACTAAGCTCTCTATTACTGAGAAATTTTTAGAATTGGTTCAGTGCTTTCAGAGATTATCCTCCACGTACAAATAAATTCTACCTCTTTGTAATATTAGTACAAAAGTATAGATTACGATAGCGAGCGTTTCTCCGATTAGGATGAATTCACTGGCGCGAATATTTCTCGATAAACTAATCGAAACACGTCGAATTAACTCCCGTTCGCGAGAGTGTACGAAGCAGGGTTGATCCGATCATTAAAAACAGAGAACGTGTAATCAGGAAACTAAATCTCCGCGGTTTGCTGATTTAAACTACGACCGCGGTCAGTTTCAATTAGGAATTGCTTCGAGTCAGCCAACCTCGGCCCTTTAACGACTCAGAAACAAATTTTGTGGTCCCGCTGGCATCAATGGCAACTACGTTCCGATTAACGATAGTTAGCGTCGGTGAAGCCATTCGGGTTTAACGAGTTCCCCCTAATCCTGGCTGTAAATTGGCAAAAAGCTGCTCGTTTCCTCATTGACAACGCGCTACATAATTGCGGTTCCTGATACGATTACAATGTTCATCATTGCGCTTACCGCGGTGGATTTTCCCATGGGACGACGCGCCTCCGATCCTGGAACGGCGCGTCACAACCCTTTTGTCCATCGTTGCGCATTTCTACAGAGCTCCAGGTGTTAAAATCAGTTGCGTTTAGAACCGATCGATATTTATTCGGAGTGACGGATAGTTCATTTCGAGTCGGTCAACTCGGAAAATTTTACTCCAACGAACCAGTAGACGGATTCGCATCGATCAGTCGTTGATTGCATTCAAGAACCATTTACAATTAGTTGCGCACAGATAGATGGCCAATTGCTTCTAATCTCAAACCAACGCCCGAAGTTCCGGCAAAGTTCTGTACCGAGATAAATTGCCTACAATTCAACCCTCTTGCATCGAACGAGTTTTATTAGGGCGAATGTTGGAGTTATTAAATCGAACTGGGTTTTCGTTATACGTACAACTGCTTCGTCAGCATTTTAAACGTATAAAGAGGACCTTTGCAAATAGTTCGTTTACCGACACCAGAGTTATTTGCCTTTGACGACCAAGCGCGGAGTTTATAGAACGCATTAAAACTGGTTACTATTGGAGGCGAGCGCCAAGAGGTATTCGCGCGGGACCCGAGCATCGCAGTTAAATGAATTTAAGCGAGCCACTCATTAGAGGATCAAACTTTTCGATGACAGTGGGAGTACGACTCGATTAAGCTGAAAACACTCGAGAGACCTGCCGGCATGCTTCTTCCGTTCGCTGGTAAATTCGATTCGTCGCTCGCCATCCCCGTTCCCTTTGAATCCGCAATATCTCGATTATCGTTACTTCGACAGCAAAAACACGTATCACGGAAGATACCGGGAATGAAATTTTCAAATTTTTCTGCGGTGTACTAATTTTATGTAGGATCGCTGGTAACCGAGATATCGATCATCCCTTTTAATTTTACGACACCCCGACTATCGACGCTTTCAAAATAAAAATGTATATAACATTTTATTGACGATATTTATGGCAAATGAAATTTTGAAAGCAACGGAGATACTCACCTGAATATTCCTGGCCGCGAGAGCGACTATCGGTAACGTTACATCTAACTGTGCCCCAGAAAAAGAAAGCATCTCAACTCGACGATGTAGAAATTCGAGCGAACACTTTCTGAAGCACCTTCTGCAACCTTCCGCGAGTAAATTCATTTTCCTCCGTTGGCTCTAAACTGATCACTCGTTAACGCAATTTGCGAGTCACCGAAGCTTGCATCGACTCCGAATGTCGGTTACGTGGAATTTTTACCTTCCGCCGGATACGGAGATGACCAATCCACGCTCGCGCGAAAAATACTTTCTTACGAACGCCGAATCCCTCGAAATAAACTAGGACATAGTAAAACAGTCGAGCAACCGTATGAATATTCATCGATCGCCCCGAATTTATAACCACTCACGCAAATCGACCGAGTCGCGTTACTTTTTCCGCGGTACCGAACGAGAACGCGACGATAATTCAATTTCCACGGGGAAAAATAAAATCTCCCGCCGATTCGTAGGCTTCTCTGCTGTTTGGCTACGAGTTCCAAGGCTTTGCGAATCGAGTTTAGTGGATCATCTGGATGAATGATTATTGCGCTGTGGAAATGTAGATGGGGGGGTTGAATTTTTTGTTGTTGTTTTACCGGGGTTGAAAGAGTGTCTGACTTGGTTCAAAGGTTGTAGAGTGTTCATCAACGCGAGTTGCTACTGTATTGTGTTTAATCTCTGTTATTGTTCTATCCCAGTGATGGGCAAAACTCTAGGCTTCGAATGAATCTAAAGTTTGCCGACATGTTTGTCTCATTTCCTCTTTTGAACATTTTCCAAAGAAGGAATCACCGATCTATCCCAATCTTGGACTCG